ATTTGTTACAATTGATGAACTTACATTGCCAAGCCATTATCATCCAGAGTTCATAGTTCACATTAAGATCCACTCTTGGGGTTGTTCATTCTGTGGGTTTGGACAAATGTATCATGACACGTATACAACATTATAGTATCGTACAGAAAAACCTCACTGCTGTAAAAATGCTCTGTGCACCACCAATTCATCCCTCTCCCCTAATCCATGGCAGTCACTGGTCTGTTTACCGTCTCCATGGTTTTGCCCTTTTTAGAATGTCAAATAGCAGGAAACTTACAGAATGCAGACTTTTCAGATTGGCTTCTTTCACTCAGTAATATGCATTTAATGTTTTTTCATTCCCTTTATGGTTTGATAACTCTTTTCTTTTTAGTGCTGAATAATAATTTATTATCTGGATGTACCACAGGTTATCCACTCACCTGCAGAAGGACATCTTAGTCCCTTCTAAGTTTTGGAAATTACGAATAAATCTGCTATAAGCATCCATGTGCAGGTTTCTGTGTGGACATAAGCTTCCAATTAGTTTGGGTAAACATGAAGGAGTGTGATTGCTGGGCTGTATGGTAAGATTATGTTTAGTTTTGTAAGAAACTGCCAAACTGTTTTCCAAAGTGGCTGTACCACTGTGCATTCCCACCAGCAATGAGTGAGAGTTCCTGTTGCTCCACATCCTTGCCAGTCTTTGGTGGTGTTAGTATTATGGATTTTGGCCACTCTGATAGGTGTGGTAGTGTTTTCTAATTTTGGAAAATGCAAAGGAGAGTATATTATTGCCTTATTCACTAGCCCTCACCTGGAACCAAAGCCTTGAGAACATAAACTATTGCCTGCAGGATTTGATGCCCTACTTTTCCAATGTCTGTGCTTGTGGCTGGTCAGGGAACAGGTATTGATACTACTGTCAGCTTTGTCTACTTTCTGATGAATCAAAAGGTGATGGTGAGGTTCTCTGTCAAAAGCTCAGCAGGAAGGGACAAGAAGGAAAAACAAGATGGATCTCTATGTACACCAGGGTCAAGGGGCTGAGAAAACCGATACCTGGAGGAACTTTGTTACTGAGTTCTATGGTTTCTTATCCCACTTGAGATTTGTCAGCAGGTTCTATTACTGCTGAAATTCTCAATTTTTAACACCCATTTGAAGTGTGTTAGAGATCAGAGTGGAGTGGGTTTGGGCTCTATGTACCTACATTAGGGTGCACTGCATCTTGGAAGTTTCTTTTAAGGCAACTTCTTGCATCTCAGGCTGGAATGCCTGCCTTGTTTGGTCTTACCCAGTGACTTTGCTCAGGAAAGAAAGGAAATAAAAAAGAGAAAAACAGTATTTGTCTCTTGAAAGGACCACTCTCGCTACAGTGTGGAAAGGAGATTGAAAGGAGTCCAAAATTTATAGGGGGACTCAATCAGGCTACAGTCATTGGGTGAGAGACAATGGCAGCTTGGATGATGATAGAGGTGGTAGAGATGGGGAGCTGTGGATGGATTCCAGAGAATTTTAGGTAGTACAGCCATCAATGTTTGATGAAGGATTGTCTAGGTGTGTATTAGAGAGAGGGGTGTTAAGGAGACTCTTGGGTTTCTGACTTGTACAAATGGTGGGCTGTTCACAGAGACAGGGAGCCCTGGAAGATGACCAGGCTTGGTGAGAAAATGATGACGTGTCATAAATCTTCTGAAGAAAGAACCTCCTTCCTAAAAGAATGGTTAGAATGGTTCATTAGAATGGTTCATTCATTCATCCAGCTGTTATTTATTGAGAACCCAGTGACTGAACCTTCTTGGAAATGGCCCTAACTACATCGTCTACCATATGGCTATGGTGAAGAGTAAATGAGCACTTTGTATAAAGCATGAGCAGGAAGCCTCATCACGCTCATGAACTATTTTGGAATGGTTTTAGTTTCCTCTTATATATATAAAATGAGGGCATCAAATGTGTACTCTCTAATGTTACATCTAGTTATTATATTGGGAAAAATTTAAACTATAGGAGGTCAGGGCATTGTCTGTTTTGTTCACTAATTTTTTTTTTTTTTTGAGTCAGAGTCTCACTCTGTCGCCCAGGTTGGAGAGCAGTGGCACACTCGTGGCCACTGCAGCCTCGACCTGCTGGGCTCAGGTGATCCTTCTGCCTCAGCCTTCCAAGCAGTTGAAACTACAGGCATGTGCCACCATGCCTGGCTAATTTTTTTATTTATTGTTGAGACAAGGTCTTGCTAAGTACCCAGGCTGGTCTCCAACCTCTGGACTCAGACAGTCCTCTCGCCTCCACCTCCCAAAGTACTGGGATTACAGGTGCGAGTCACTGCGTCCAGCAGTTCACTAGTATCTCATGTTAATTCTTCCTGGGTGAGGGGAGTGTTTATCCTGCCTTTTACCCACTCACTTCCATGGGGAATGGACATTCATTATGAAAAGACAACAACCTTCTTGTTTTGCTTTCTGACATTAAATAAGAGAATCTATTCTGTGAGTTATTCCAAATCCCAATCACTTTAATATATTCTTATATGCACCCATATCTTGTGGTAAACTTGTTTCAGAGTCAAAAAACCACAAAATAAAAAAGCAATCTTATAAGATCCCTATCTCTGTTGCTTAATAACCAGGAGAACCAGGCCCAATTGAACTGTTCTGAGCTCTTTCCCAAAACATCCCCTGGGGAGAGCCTCTTGGGATCCAGCCAAAACAACTCAGGGCAATAAGAAAGGCTTTCAGGTTCAGAACTCACTTCATGGAATAAACAAACAGCAGAAACCAAACCAAAACCATAAATTTGTTCCAAATCATGACCAACTATCAAACAAGCAAAACCAAGCCCTCTCCTCCGCTACACACATGATATACTTCCCTGTGTTGGCAAGCATGCTGTGGGATTCAGGGTGGGATGCTTTCCATGAGTCTATCTTAATGCTTGTCAGAACCTTCTCTCCATTCTACAATCAGTGACTTCTGAGGACTTCTTGTAGTGAACATGGCAGCAGCCAGTTTAGACTCTTTGGTTGACCCCCCCATGCCCTCCATGTCCTCATAGTTCTCACTGTAGACTGATATGGAGCCTGAGCCGTTTGCCATCGTTAGCTTTGAGATCAGCGCAGCTACCTTAAATATCTTTGTCTTTGTTTAAAAGTCTCTGGAGCCAAGGCCAAGGGGAATCTCACTACAGGTGGAGCTATGAGCTGGTTGGTCATATTTTTCAGGGGCCCTCTCAGCAGTGCAGATGAGTCTTGGCCGGTTCCCTATTTGTGTTTCCTAGCACATCTTTAAAAGTGAAGAAATGTGCCTGAGCCTGCGGGTTCGGGACCCGCCTGGGCAACTTGGTGAGGCCTCATCTCTACAATAAATCAAAAAATTAGCTGGGCATGGTAGCGTGCGCCTATAGTTCCAGCTACTTGGAAGGCTGAGGCGGAAGGATCGCCAGAGCCCAGCAGGTCGAGGCTGCGGTGGCTGGGAGCGGCCACTGCACTCCAGTCTGGGCGACAGAGTGAGACTCCGACTCAAAAAACAAACAAACAAACAAAAAGTGAAGAAATGCCAAGATAAGATGTTAAAACTTGTGGTAAGCCAGGCTCAGGGGCTCAGCCTGTAATCCCGCGCCTTTGGGAGGCTGAGGTGAGTGGATTGCCTGAGCCTGTGGGTTCGAGACCCGCCTGGGCAGGCGAGACCTCATCTCTACAGTAAATCAAAAAATTAGCCGGGCGTGGTAGCGCACGCCTATAGTTCCAGCTACTTGGAAGGCTGAGGCGGAAGGATCGCCGGAGCCTAGCAGGTCGAGGCTGAGGTGGCCGGGAGCGGCCACTGCACTCCAGTCTGGGCGACAGAGTGAGACTCCGACTCCAAAAACAAACAAACAAACAAACAAACAAACACACAAACAAAACAAAAGTGAAGAAATGCCAAGATAAGATGTTAAAACCTGTGGTATAGTTAATATGTTTAAATTTAATCAAAAATAGCTTAGCACTTGTAAGTATAGTTATTTTAGTCTCCCAATATAAATTAATAGAAAATTTATTGTTAATTTTTATAATACAAAAGGTGGTGCTTCTAAGCAGTGGAGAAAAGATAAACGAGTCAACAAATAGTGTTGGGACACACCATTACACCAAAAATAAATTCACAGTGGAGCAAATATTGAAAAACAAAAAGATTCTCCCAATCCTTCCAGAGGAAGATATGCATATTCCTAACCACATTTTTTTTAAAAAAAGAAAAATGTGTCAAATGCTTCCATTCACTCCACTTTCTCAGGATCAAACAAAAATACAAAATAGAAGAGTCAGCACGTTCTCCAATAGAAAAGAACAGGAAGTTTAATTCATCAATTTGCATTATTTGGTTATATCCAATGTTCAAATGAAATTTCAAGTAATAATAGGTCTTTTATTACATACAGCAATGGTTCAAGAATATAAATTCATCCTCTTTGCAGAGACTGTTATTCCCCCTACCATAAACTCATCCTTTCCTAACTTAAGAAATATGCCATTTTAATTACAGAGGAAGTAACTGTGAAAAGTCAAGTTTTGCCTATTTTTGTAAACTGAAACCTCCTAGGACACAAATTACTCGTGTGGCCCACATACATGTGCTGTGCTAACAATAGACAGGCCTAGCAGCAAGAACATCACTGAGACACAAATATAGAGCAAAGATGTTAGTGGTAACTAAAACAAAGCAAAATTTATCTGGCCTTTTTTCCCTCCTTACAACTCCCACTACTGTGATAGTTACAAGAGATGTACTCATTTCTTTTATTAGCATTTAAAATGGGTAGGTGACATATTACTGAATTTACTTGCTGAAACATAGGACACATTATTATATAAGATACCAAAACTTGCTCTACTGGCAAATGGGTACTCCTGGCTCTTTTTTTCAATATGGAACCTTTATTTTTACCGTGATCTGTATATTGGGACTATGAGAGTAATCCTTTGCAAGTGATTTACTAGAATAAACAAAAACAAACTGGATTTCACAGGAATCCATAGTTTACGCTTCAAATTCAGCTAAGAAGTTGGTTACGATCTCTTCCAGCTTTGCATCTGACTCTTCAGAGATCTTCCCATCAGCCCTGATAATGCCCAACAAAGCCTAGTGCTGGCTGATGACATGAGACAGGAAAGCATTCTCGAATTTGGTGATCTTGCTGGGCTCCAACTTGTCCAGATGTCCCCTGACACCCACATAGATAACAGCCACCTGCTCCTCAATAGCCATAGGAAAGTACTGTCGTTGTTTCAGCAGCTCAGTCAGACAAACACCACGACTCAGGAGTTGCTGAGTGGCAGTGTCAAGGTCAGAACCAAACTGGGCAGAAGTAGCAACCTCGCGATACTGAGCCAGTTCCAACTTCATGGTATCTGCCACCTGCTTCATAGCCCTGGTTTGAGCAGCAGATGCAACACGGGACACAGACAAGCCAACATTGATGGCTGGGCGGATGCCTTTATAGAACAATTCTGTTTCCAAGAAGATCTGTCTGTCAGTGATGGAAATGACATTTGTTGGAATGTAAGCTGACACATCACCAGCCTGTGTCTCATTGACTGGTAAAGCAGTCAAGGAGCCGCCCCCAAAGGCATCATTCATTTTAGCTGGTCTCTCCGGCAACTGGGAGTGCAGGTAGAACACATCTCTCCAGGGTAGGCCTCCCCACCTGGGGGCGGAGAAGCAAAGATATCTGGTGGTAAGCAACAGCCTGTTTGGATAAGTCGTCATAGATGATCAAAGCATGTTTGCCATTGTCTCTAAAATACTCTCCCATGGAACAGCCAGAGTAAGGAGCCAGGTACTGTAGTGGGGCAGCATCTGAAGCCGTGTCTGACACCACGGTAGTGTACTTCATGGCATCTGCGTCTGCGAGCCTCTTCACCAGGTGGGCCACCATGGACCTCTTCTGCCCAACAGCCACATAGATGCAGTACAGCTTCTTCTTCTTATCAGTTCCGTCATTGAAGCGCTTCTGGTTAATGATCGTATCGATAGAAATGGAGGTTTTCCCAGTCTGTCTGTCATCAATAATCAGCTCACGCTGACCACGACCAATTCGCACCAAGCTATCCACAGCCTTAATGCCAGTCCGCATGGGTTCCCGTACTGAGATTCGAGGAATGATTCCAGGGGCTTTCAGACAAACTCGCCTATGGGTCTTAGAACCAACTGAACCCTTTCTGACAATGGCATTACCAAGGGCGTCCACCACCCGGCCCAGTAGCTCCTCACCCACGGGCGCATCCACGATGGCTCCCCATCTCTTCACAATGTCTCCTTCCTTAATCAGCTTATCATTTCCAAATACGACAACCCCGACGTTGTCAGGTTCCAAGTTCAGAGACATACCCTGTAAACCTGAAGAAAATACTACCATTTCTTCTGCTTGAACATTCCTCAGCCTATGAACTCAAGCAACACTATCACCAATACTTAAGACATGCCCAGTCTCCTCAAGGTCAACAGAGGTATCAGCTCCGAGAATACGCTCTTCAAGAATAGACATCTCAGCAGTGCTAGTCTTCTGAAGACGAGTGCTAGAGGCATGGAGGTTCCTTGTGGCAATGAACGATGAACCCAAAGCATTTCTGGAGACCAGTCCAGCCCGCCAAGGGAGGGCGTGGGCCATGGCCACGGCGACGCGCACGGACAACATGTTGGCAGTTTCTTGGCACTGAGCTCCTCTGCAGTTGCAGCCTCCAGACTGACTCCTCCTGGCTCTTTTAAACCACACCTTATACACTAGACAAGATAGCACTAATGGAACATACTGGTGCTTAAGCCTGGGGCTAAGGTCAGATATGGATAGAATTCCAAGGCCTCAAAGATAGAAAAAAGTAGAACAGGAAGTGGTGTTAGATAAGATACAGGCTTACTAGTAGAAGCTGTCAAAGAGAAGAAGGGTGGATGGTCTGAACTGGGCCAGACCTACTGGATTGACAAAGAGGAAGGAAAGGACAATGGGACCAGAGAGTGTATCTATGAGACCAGATAAATTTGCACTGATGACCATTCTTAGTGTGACTCGATCTCTTTTCAGCCCCAACCTAACAGCCCTGGAGAAGCTGTAGTCTGTGCTAGGACAACTGAGAATACACATATTTACTTCCACATATGCTCTATCACTTGTCACTGTAAAGATTTCTAACCAGAGCCAGACGAATTTCCATCCCCAGAGGCCCCTGAGAATGAGAAAGATACCCATCAGTCAGAGGGAAGTAGGAGTGACAAGATGAATTCACAGAGCCCTCCAGGTTTCTGCTTTCCAATAGCCTTCAGATGGAATTACCCCTCATGTCAAACCAAAAGCCTTCCCGACTGCAATAAAGCTGCTGTATTGATTTCATTCAAGTGAAAAGCAAAGCAACCAAAGGGCACTAATGAGAAGGAAAAACATGAAGAGTTATAACTAGCAGCCTCCAAAATGAAGTGATGAGGACTCAAGGATTCTTTGGTTAGTATGAGGTTGTGTCAGAAATTCATTCATTTCTTGGTCACTGGGCATGTTGGGTATGAGAAGATGAAGATGAGATTTATTAATGATCTCAAGGACCATTACATTGTTATAACACAGTATGTTACTTACTATACATTACTGAGGAAACTTTCTTCTTTTCCATAGTCATTTACTGGTACGAGCAAAATGTGCATCTTGAATTTGAGTAGAGGCTGTATCCAAAATAATGACATTTTTGTCCTTGAGCACAAGATTTAATATATGATCCCAGGCTGGATCCTGAACCAGAAAAAGAAAAACTGATATTATGTCAGACATTGGGACAATTGGAGAAATTTAACTGAGTTATAGATGAGCCTGTACTAACATTAAATTTTCTGATTTTGATAACTGTACTGTGACTGTGTAAGAGAATGTCCTTATTCTTAGTGAATACACACTGAAATATTTAGGAGCAAGTGGAATGGTTTCTTTCTTTTTTTTTTTTTTTTGAGTTGGAGTCTCACTCTGTCTCCCAGACTGGAGTGCAGTGGCTGCTCCCGGCCACCGCAGCCTCAACCTGCTGGGCTCTGGCGATCCTTCCACCTCAGCCTTCCGAGTAGCCGGAATTACAGGCATGCGCTACCACGCCCGGCTGATTTTTTGATTTATTGTAGAGATGAGGTCTCGCTGCCCAGGCGGGTCTCGAACCCACGGGCTCAGGCAATCCACTCACCTCAGCCTCCCAAAGGCGCGGGATTACAGGCTGAGCCACCGAGCCCGGCAATGGTTTCTACAAATTATCCTCATATAGAAAGAAAACGATAACACAAGTGTGGCAGTTGGTAAATCAGGGTAGAGTGTACAGAAGTTCTTTGTACTCTAATTACAACATTTCTCTAGGTATGGAAATTCAATATAAAATTTAAAAAGAGTTGTGTCTGTATATCTCATGGAGCACCGAGCAACTTACTGCCTGCTTCCCACTATCACTTTGTGTTCCTCCCACCTGTCCTTCTCCCAAGTGATTTCTGTTATCACAAACACAAAAAATTATTTTATATCAGAGATACCATGTTGGTAACTCTGGAAAAAATAAAGATTAGTTGCAATACAAGCCCTACCCTTAATACAGTTGGGGGAGTTCAAGTTTGGACACCCAGACCCACCCTGTGAGACAGAAGCAGCCGTGGACAGAAGTAAATGTGTAACAAGACAGAGAAGCAGGGAGAAAGCACTGGGGCTTATTTAGAAGTGTTTGTGTTGAGGACATCTGAGGGTGGCCATGAGGATAGGTAGGATTTGACAGCAGAACACTAGGGTGCAGGACAAGTAGCACAGACAAAGGGCCAGAAGGGGTGTCGCAAGAAGACTTCAGATGCCAAAAGGGCAAGGTAAGTTCACTCCGGGTGAGTACTCTAGGAAAGTGATGGGCAGGGGTGGCAAATAGGACTAAAAAGAAAAGACAAGGTCAGATGCTGAATGGCCTTAAATGATAAGCAAAGTATTTTGAATTTTATTTTAGGCAATAGGGAGCTACAATTTTTGTCAAAGTGGTTGCTTCCTTTTAAGATTGGAAAACATATCTTGAGTATCCTTTGTGGAATTCTACTTCACACATAGTTGACATTGAAGGAGTTAAAAATATACACTGACATATTGACTATTTTGAATCAAACACACTTGAAAAACAGAAGGTACAAAAAGATCATTCTAACCTCTTTTCTGTTTTTTGAAAGCAGGAGATGAAGTTCACATGTGAAAAACACCCTCCCTGTACTAGAAGAAAAAGTAACATCTTTGTCCTCAAGGATGAGAAGTTAAGACTGAAAGAATCCTATACTGACCTTGCTAAAATAATTATTATCTTTTAAAGCCTCCCTACATAATATAGTTGCTTCTTCACTACTTAGTATTCTTTGTCCAATCCAGCATATAAGTGATGGACTCTAACTGCCTTTTTGGGTCTTTGTTTCCTTATGAGGACTCCCATGCCACATAAAACTTATATTAAATGATTTATATGCTTTTCTCCAGTTAATATCTCTTATGTCAATTTAATTATCAGGCCCAGTCAGGATCCAAGAGGATGAAGGTAGAGTTTTGCTGCCCCTACAGTAGTCAATAAAGAGTGGTGGTGTGATGTTTGTAAAAATAAACATTAGCAACCCCATGCAGTTTTATTCAAACTCAAATCTCAGTGATACATATTGTTAAAATATGAAATCAAATTTTGAAGGGAAAAATTATTGAGCACCATGTAGGTACTAAATATTTTATATAGTCTATCTTTTTTAGCCCTCCCAGACACCCTAATTTTATAAGTGGAACAAAAAGATTAGGTAAACACTCCAAGTCATAGTTAACAGATGAGTCAGGATTCTTTGGTCTTAAACAACAATAATACTGACATTTATTTAACTTGAGTAAGATGATGGGAAATAAGAACTGAAGGGAAAGTTTGGGAACCTGATTCAGAAATTTCTGTCATGAACCAAGGCAGTGGTTGCTGAGATGAATCAGCTTAGTTGTTTTTAATCTCTTGGTCACTCTACCCAAGATACAAATTCTAGGCAGAATTATCCACAGATATGCCTAGCTGAGGAAAGGTGTGCCATTCCAATTGATATTCTCATTAGATTGTTTCCGTGGGGGTGATAAAAACAAAATATTATTTTAGAGGTTACGGTGGCCATAGGAATGAGCCAGGCAGGTCTCTTGCTGCAAGGACACAGTTGACCGACAACCTCTAATTCTGCCCTCCGGATGCACCACTGTTTTCTCCCAGCTTCTCCCAGTCTGAGGACTGAGCCCAGAGGGGCACTACTGAGGACTAAGGCAAGATCATTCCAGCAAGACACAGGATTCTTCCCACGGGCACCTTTTACTTGAAGACTCCCCAGAAACTTTGCTGAACTTCCTTTCAGCACTGCAGTAGGAGACCTCCGACACAATCCTCCTTCCCTCTCTCTTTCTCCAGTTGTCAGACCTGCATGTGACCTGAAAATCTGCTCCCTTCCCCAGTTAATCTCTATATGTCTAATCCTGTCTTAGTATCTGCTTCTCAACAGACTGGAACTAACTTAGAGCCAAAACCAAGACTTGAACTCTAGTCCATGCGACCTCAAATCTATGTTTTTTTCACTACACTTATAGCAGTAATTGAAGGTAGAAAAAAATTGGTTAAATTACAGCCAATAAGACCCCCCACTCTCTTAGGTGTTAAATGGAGGATAGACTTATCCATAACACTAAAAAAATGGATAAGAAGATTATTTTAAAAATCAATTAAGGGAAATTGTAATTATTTTCCAAATTATTTGACTCTCTAGGGGATTGTTTTCAAGTTCTGAGTTCTGCTGGTATGTTTGAAATGTAGAATGACTTGCCTTTAACTCTCCCAGATGCCTGCCCTGTGGAAACTGAGCTCCTGTACTTGGCGACAGCAGGGGGGAAAGAAAAGTCTGATATCTCTCCTCCCAAGCTCTCCTCCCAAATTGGATACCAATGCAGGAATCAAGTTCCATTGATAATAGAGTAACAAAATCACCGGTATCAGGTAGCCATGCTACTACCCTGTCAAAGTCAAGGTAAAAAATGTATTCCAGACAAAGAAAAATTGTATCTCTAACTGTTGAACCAAACCCCAGAGAGAACCCTGTGTCAAGAGACTATAGAGACATCAGCTGGGAAAACCTGTGATCTTGTCACTTAATCCAGCTGTGTGAAAGACCCCAGGAACAGAAAACTATTTGGCCAGTTGGGAACTACGTTGAAGTGAGACATTTTAATTTGTCAGTTTTTTCCACAATACCCAACCAATAAAAGATATTTTTGCCAGGCATGGTGGCTCATGCCTGTAATCCCAGCACTTTGGGAGGTGGAAGCAAGAGGATTGCTTGAACTCATGGGTTCAAGACTAGCTTGAACAACATGGCAAGACCTTGTCTCTATGATAAATAAATAAAAAAATTAGCCGGGTGTGGTGGTGCATGCCTGTAGTTCCAGCTACTTAGAGGGTTGAGGTGGAAGGATCACCTGAGCCCATCAGGTCAAGGCTGTGGTGGTTGTGGTGGTTGCTCCAGCCTGGGTGAGAGAGTGAGACTCTGACTCAAAAACAACAACAACAACAAAGATATCTTTATACAACTGGGCTATATCTTGAGGAAAACTGAAGGTATTCATAACAGAACAAAATAAGAATCTAGCAGTCTTAGGAA